CCCCGTCACTGGCCCAGATGGCCCTGGGGGGGCACCTCGGAGGAGCAGGCACCGTGCTGCGGACGCTGCTGCCCGCCCCTGGCCGTTACACACCTCTGGGCCGGACCCCTGCTGGACGGCAGGTGCCGCCCCCTTGGGGCTTCTAGCTGGGGTGAGGTTTCTAGGGAGGGGGTGACCCTGAAACTGCCCTGCACCCTCGGGTCCAGAGGCCAGGCTGGGGTGCGCTGGGGCCTCCTGCAGCCTGTCCCTGAGGCCAGGCCCTCTGCTTTCTGGCCTCGCAGCGGTGGCCCCAGGAGGGGGCCCTGACCGTCAGGCATCGCCCCTGCCCTGAGGGGGCAGGCGTGGCCAGGCAGCCCCTTCCTCCAGCCCCTCCCAGCCCCAGCTCGCTCTGCCCTCTCTGGGCACTGGCCCGGCCGAGGGGCCGGCCTGCTGCCCCTGCCGGCCCAGTGCCCTCGCGTGCTGCCGGCCGGCGGGTCCCCCAGGCCTGTGTCCTGGGCTCCGCCTGGGCCAGCGGGGGATGGGCCAGGGCCCGAGGGCCCGGACGCCGCTGCTTTTCTCAAGGCGCCGCCAAGGCCCGCCCAGTCACAAGCCTGGCCAGGAGCCAGCTGCTCACCTGGCCGTGGCTCCCCGCTCTGCCTGCGGGGCCCAGGTTCCCCCTCAGCCTGGGTGCCTGGGGTGCTTGGCTCCGCCAAGGCCACCAGGGGAGGGGGCTCGGCGCGGTCACCAGCGCTGGGACCGTCCAGCCTTCCGTGTCCAGCCCCGCCTGGGTGCCCAGTGGCTGGACCCCTGGCCTGGGGCCACCGGGATCACAGAGGCTGCAGGAAGGGGCCGCGGAGAGGCGGAGCCCCGAGAAGGGTGGGGGGCTCGGTGGCGAGCGGCGGGGCGGGCGTCACCAGGGATGGGGTGAGGGGCCTGGCCTCTGTGGCCACAGGCGCTGGGCCTGGGCCCCGGTGCTGGGCTCGGCTGGCCACCGGGGCCCAGGGCGCCTCTGGCTGGCCTCTGAGGCCTGCGCAGGTACCCTGGCCTCCAGGGGCCCCTCCCTGCCCTGCCCTGGGCACCTCACCTGCCCTGGACGCGGGCGCGAGGGGCCGGGCAGGCAGGGAGTCACCCCGGAGGGCAGCACCGGGCCTCGGCTGCACCCCGGGCTGGGCTGTGGGGCTGCAGCCAGCGGCTGGCCCGCCCCACCGCAGACCCAGCGCGAGGGGCGAGGCCAGCCTGGGCCGCCGCTGACCTGGTCGTCCCCGCAGAGGGCAGGCTGGTGTCCGAGCAGTTCCTGCAGACCCCGCAGAAGCTGTCCCCCTACAGCTGGTACGGCAGCGCCAGGCTCTTCCGCTTCCGCGTGCCCCCCGACACCGTGCTTCTGCGCTGGCTGCTGGGGGTGGCCAGGGCCGGCGGCCCGGCCTGTGCCCAGGCGGAGGTGACCGTGTAGGTGCCGCGAGGCCCCCCCGGCGCGGGTATCCCGGGCGTCCCCGTGGCTGCCCCCGCCCACCCTGCACCCCTGCACCCCTGCGTCCGCCCAGGCACTTCCGCTACGGCGCCCCCCCGGTGATCAACCCGCTGGGCACCGACTTCGCGCCGGACACCTCGGTGCGCCCCTCCTTCTTCGTGAAGATGCTGCACGGCAACAGCTCGGTCAACCTCTCCCACCCGGCGCCCGGGGACTGGTTTGTGGCCGCCCACCTGCCCCCCGCGTCCCAGAAGATTGAGGTGCAGGTAAGATGGCGGCCCTGGGGTCACCTGGGCCCCCAGGCCCCGCGCCCAGCCCGCCTCTCCGGCCTCCCCCAGGGCTTCATCCCCGCCTGCGCCTACGTCTTCCAGCCGGACATGCTGCTGCTGCGGGCGGTGGAGGCGGCCATCCTGGAGCCCGGCCTGCCGCTGCCGCAGACGCTGCGCTCGCTCCCCAGCTACCTCAAGTGAGGGC